AAGAATCCTGATGTTTTAACCCTTAAGTGAACTATTGGAGCCACTCCGCAAGTTTAAACTAATAATTCATCGAGCCCCATTTGCATTTGACACATTAAAATCTTCCAATCCATTCAGGAGTTGTGACTTTTTAAACATACACATGAACTTTCAGGGGAATCATTCATTCATGGCCAGACATTGTATTTTTTGGTGAAGAATTTTTTTCTCGAAAGTCCGTAGGATTTCGAGGGTATGTCTATTGACCAAAAATGATTGCAATTGACCCCTGCAATCGAAAATAATTTTTTTAGAACGATTTGAAATTTTTGAATTTCGCCGAAAAATTTCACACCTACTGGAATTATTTTCTCGAAATTGCGTAGGATTTTGAGGGTATGTCTATTGTCCAAAAATGATTGCAATTGACCCCTGCAATCGAAAATAATTTTTTTAGTACGATTTGAAATTTTTGAATTTCACACGTACTCGAATTTTTTTCTAGAAATTACGTAAGATTTTGCGGGTATGTCTATTGACCAAAAATGATTGTAATTGACCCTCGCAACCGAAAATAATTTTTCCAGAATGATTTAAACATTATTGAAAAGCATTGTTATAAAATCCAATCGTTGCTCACCAAAATTCCTGTATCCTGTATGCGCGTAGTAAAACTTTAATACCAATTAATCGTAATAATTTTTAGTCGTTAAAATTCTGTCTAAATAAGAACGCGATCCCGTTGAGGAAGGAGCATATACATATAAAATGATCGAAGCGGTCTGAAGTCCATCGCTTGTCGCGAGACGTGCCTTGGGGCGACTCTCATCGTGCAGAGGCTCCTTTTTGCTGACCCCGGTGACACGCGAAAACCCCGCAGGGCCCGTACGAGATACCGGAGCCCGTCGTCGAGTGGTTAAAGCAACGCCGTTATCCGTTAAGGCAACGCCGTCGATCCGCGCGCATTGTTGTGAATATTACGAACACGTCTCGTTACGATTCGCGGGGCTTCCTTCTTCAAACGCATCGGTGAACCGTGTCCAATTAAGCATACGGATGGTATCGACTTGCGCGGATGGGTCGACGACAATGGGAATGAAACACGAGACACTTCCTTCCTCGGGAAAGTGGCCGCTCGTATGAAGCGATTTAGAAAACGACGAAAAGAAATAGGAAAAAGGGAAATTGAATCGCGCCAGCGGCGAAAATAGGTAACACGTGCGTGGTCGCGAGTCAGAGATGGAGGTATTTCGTAGGGGGGGAGGGTGTAGGGTCGGAGAAAAATAAAAGAAACCGAGGGAGGGAAGCGGTTTCGGATCCGTCGCGAATCCCCTAGCGTCGGTTAGGTGCGTTCTGGTTATATTTAGAAGTTTCGCGCCTTTTAGCATTTGCTCACCGACGACCTGGCGACTCGCCAATTTCGGGAAGATTCGTGTGCCCGGGGGCTTGGGCGCGATGAAACACGTGGAAGCGGTGTTACGACCGGGAGATTGCATTCGTTACCTCACACGTATACGCGCAACGTATGGTGGCATCCCGTTTGGTGGCTTCTTCCTCGTTCCACGACTCTTTCCGTTTGGCCCCGTTTGCGTCTTTAAATGGAAACAACTTGAACGCGTCTAATTAATATTCTCGTTCCCGTGAAATCAATTACGAACTCCGCGTCGTTTATAAGGACGCGTCTCGCGAGGGAACACCACTTAACCTGCCTCCATCCGATTTTAACCTAGTTTTACGGAGCAGTACGCTATACCAATCTTCGTTGCTAGGCGTTAGAACTGGAATCGTTTTAAACGTGCAAGTAAAATAAATAATGTGTACTCCGAGAACTTTCGAAATTAATTTTATTTCAAACTTTCGATCTGTCCTTTCGCGAAGAATCGTTCTCCGTTGGACTGTGTTACGACTCCCGGCCGGTACCTTGTATATTACGAATAACAATCTCTATGATCGAAGTGGGCGTGGCGCGGATGGTAGAAGCAGATCATGTGCTCGAGGTCGAGGATTCGAGTCCTGTTTGTTAGAATTTTTGCCATTTTTTTTAAATTGCTTTCGATTAAATGATAATCATCGCACGCGCACACCATACATTTTTTACTTTTTGTTTTTCACTTCTCTCGAGAACTTGCTTCGCGTTGCAGAGTATGTATTTCGTAGAAGCAATTAATATTAGCAGATATCGCAAAACAGATGATGTGTAAAAGGAAGCGTAACACGGGGCAATGACGCGTGACAAAATACGGCAGCAACGAGCAACTTTCTAAGATACAAACGCGTGTGCTGAATTATTTCTGAAACGACAGGAAGTCTCGGATTATACAAAGTTTAAATATTCTGCACCGATTGTTATTTATTACCGGTGGTTAAGAAAACTTTTTCTCCTAATTATCGCGCAAGCTTGTTCGATTCCGCGTAAACGAACGAGTCTTATTGATAAGGGACAGGAGATTTGCCGGGCATTAATTAAAAGTTCACGCTCGCGGTTGCAGCGAGCGAGTAAAGTGAAACCGGAAGACGAACCAAGCTTTTTTGCACGCCGAGCGTAACGTGTTCCGAGATATTCTAACTGGGCATTTTTGTACGTTAAGTAGAAACTTTCCAGCCATTTTATATCGCGAGATAATTGGAGCGAATTATAGAAATCGATGAACTCGATGATTCCAGAGAAATTGAATCGAACCAGACTTTCGATCCATTTGCATATAATATATACAAAGAGATAAATATACATTTGGACGAACTTTTACGGTAAAAAGAATTCAATAAATATTATTTAAAAAATATCTAAAACTCACATCACGGTGTTACACGTGTTTCAAATCAGTTATATTTATCGAGCCTCGAGGTACCATGCGAGGCAGGCGAAGAATATTTTTTTTTTTTACGCGAGTAAAAAAAACCCCAGATGCACGTAAGTTATGTAAGAACACGCGTGCATCGTGAATGCAAACATTCGCGTAGAAAAACTCACGGCATCGACGATGCAAATATTTGTATGTAAGAACCTCGCGCATTACGGATGCAAATATTTAAAAGCATCGAATGCGAGCAATTTTGTTTGATGTTGCAATAAACATTTTACTGCGACGTAGTCGCGCGGAATTTAATTAGACGACTTTACGACTACGGTTGGTTAATGGTTCGTTTTGCGAACGAGTCGCGGCACAAAGTTCATTCGCGGATCGACGGACGAAACGTAATTGGACCGAGAGTCTGCTCGTCGCGAAACGGCGTTACACCGACATTGAGCGATTGTATTTCGAAGCTGTCCTTGAGAAAAGTTATGACCCGTATCCGTATGAGAGAGGAATCTGGACCAACCGGATTTCCAGCGATTGTACCAGACGCCATGGATGACACAGTTTGCAGAAACGCCCACGGTGTCGTATGTCCCTTCAAACGCCTCTGTTGGTCACGTGTTCCTGAAGGATTTCATTGTCATATTGTCGCGTGCAATCTTTTCCTTCCTTCCTTTCCTCGTATATCGCCCGCAGACGAGGATCTCAAGATAAACGATATCAAACGGGTTCACGAATGTCCAGACGATGAGATTGTCGTAGGAACTATCTGTGTTTTTTGGGCTTTAACAGGTTTTTCGAATCAAAGGTACGGTTCGTTATCCGTTCGGCGCACTCTCGAGTAAAAACTATCCTGACCCATATGTGGGTCAGTGGACAGTTAACGCGTTGACCCTAAATCGAGCCCACGAGTAATGTCAACGACTAAGGGACGGAAGAATCAGGCCTCTTTACCCTAAGTATCTTTAGAAAAGGGTTTTTAAAAAGAAATATTTTTTGCAATTTTTCATTTTAAACATTCATAAACGATAATTCATATTTTATATGAATATTTCAGACACCCTGATAGGTATTCCTTGGTTTACCAGAGTTAGTCATTCGCACTCGATAAAATTTTCAATTTTCCAGCGAGGCAAGACCCTGGAAAAGCTACGTTTAAACACGAACGACACGAGTGGGCAGAGAGCAAGAAATACGAGCAATGTATTTTCATGAAAATTTATTTTACGCGATAGCAAGGTCTTACCAGTAACAAAGTTTCAATGGTCCCACTGTGGGGGGCCTTCTCGAAATGTCGGGGGTTAAACATCCGGTGCAATTTCTTCTATTTGGTCCGTGGCTTCTCGTTCCCTTATTTCCCGAAGAGTTGTGTCACGATCTTTCCGCTGTTTGCAGTCGGCCTTCACCCTGAATATAGAATTGTCGAGGTTAGGACAGAGGCGTGCTTGTTCCGTTCCAGCCAATTAGCAACGTTTTACGACCGTTCGTGGCTGTTGATAACTTCTCGAAGAGCCGGAGACACGCAAAAATTCCGCGTCTGTCAACGATATCCTGCAGGCACCCGTTTTTCGGACTTGTTTATTTTTCACATGCAACTTTCATACTTTAACCACCAACACTCGATTTAACTGCTCTTGGTGGGTAACACGAACTGCATTCGTGAAACAGATATAGAAAATTCAAGACTTTTACTGCTATTAACTCGAGCACACTTTCTTACGAAGTAGATGGCAAATACTCCAAGCAAACATATCTTTTCTTCCATTTTTTGCTTATGTATTTTGTCGTATAGAATCACTTTAAAACAGTAATACCGTTGTTTTTCTTTAGAGGGTCTGAATTCTTTGCCGAATGTCCCTTCAGAGAGGACAACTGAGTGTAAAGAGTTAAATTATTCAAACTTAACGGTGGACATTTTCGTTGTCTACGTAAGGGTTAAAAATATCTAAATATCTCGAAATATGGATTTTTGAACGTAAAAATTGACATCGCTAGATGATTCAGTAATTTTAAAATTTGATTACTCCAACGTGCATTGGTTTCAAAACAGTATACTCCGATAGAAGTTGCGTAAGAATAATTTATACGACTGGAGGAAGGGGACGTTCGGTCAAAATACGAAAGGACGAGAGTGGGACGTAGACGGCACACGCGTGATCGAAAGCGTCGACGATAAGCCGGATGAAATTCTTCTAACTTTGGTTTCCGTCTTGTCTGTTACAGAGGAGGAGGAGATAGACGTGGTGACGTTCGAGAAACCTTGCAGACCAGCGGCCTTACCGACGTACCCGAGCCCCGCTGACCAACAGCACTTCCAATTGACGGTGAACACCGCGTTCAAAGACAAAAATCCGGCACCGAGGCCACGTGGCAGGCCGCCGTCGAATCCTGCGCGAAAGAGGACCGCGCAGCCCGATCACAAGCCCGCGAAACGCGCGCGTCATAGGACCACGTACCAGAGGAGAAACAAGGTAGGACGATGTATGACAGTGTCGTCGCCGCCCTCCATCAAGATGACAGTGTCGTCGCCGCCCTCCATCAAGATGACAGTGCAGACCGCCTCGAGAAGCTCGTCCGACGACGAGCTGGACACCGAGAAGAGAAGCTTGCACAACAATATGGAACGACAGAGGCGGATAGAGCTGCGGAACGCGTTCGAGGAGCTGCGCGTTCTCGTTCCGGCGGTCGAGTCGAAGGAGAAGGCACCGAAAGTCGCGATACTCAGGCAGGCAGCCGTGTACTGTGATATGTTGACCGAGATCGGTCAGATCACGGTGGCCAAGGTGACGGAGCTCAGAAGGCGGCAGGAGAAGCTCAGAGCCAGGCTCAGCCAGCTGCGGAGGAGTCTCGCCATGACGCGTTGAGGAGAGACTCTGGGAATCGTATCAGATTCAGCCGAACTGGCCAGCTTGGTACGTTCGAGTCGAATTGTACGCGGATCGGCAACAATCTCGCTCTCGACGTTCGCGGTTCCATCGCCTTTCAACGAGATTGCGCTCGGTCACGGCGTAAGGGATGATTTTCAAGCACCCAGGTACGGCCTGGCCGGACGGAAGAGGAACGCCTGGGTTCATGGTTTTCTACGATCCATGGTTCGATCGGGATCGCGAAACGTCGGACAGGGGCGAAGCAATCTTTCGATCGGTTCCAGCGAGAGACCGCGGAGATCGGAATTTCGTTTACCCGATGGAAAGCAAGGCTCGAAACGTCGACACACACCGAACAGAATGTAAAGAATTGGTGCCAAATATTAGGGGAGATCGAGGCGACGAGATGACTTTGGGGACGATCTAGAATTTGGTCGAAAGCGTTGGAATCGACCGGTTTTCCGTTTTTCCTTTTTTGCAGAACCCGCGGAGAAAAGGAACTGCGAACTTCGGATCGCGTTCGATAAAGTCACATTTTTATTATTGGCGTTTCATCGCGCGGATTATCGACTGGGACCGGTTCCGAGAAACTTGAGAATGCGGTGAATGTTCGAAGAAAAATATGTTACAAGGAAATTGAACGATATTCGATATATAGACGAATGTGAAGATTATTTTTTCAGCGCGTCGGACGTTTCCCTTTTGTTTTCTACTCATTTTAAGTAAAAGACTTGCATTTGAATGTCGAGACTAATCCGACGAAAGTCGAAAAGACGATGGATCGTTCGAGATCTCTCATCCCTCTTGGATTTCGTCGGCAAAGCGAAACGTGCGCGCGCAACCGTGGAAATGAAAATTTATCGCGATTTATCCGGTGTTAATAACACCAGTTCCCAACTAACTGGTCTTAGTATTTCTCGGGCGAACCGGTTCCCGGGCGTGTCGTTCATTTTGTAAAAGAAAAAGCGGGAAGCGCATTCAGACTTTGATCGTCAGTCGGACGGTTCTTTTTCCAAAACTCGTATCGATAACTGGGAAAGAAGTTACTCGTGGAGGTTCCTTTTAGCGATTTTATATTAAAAGTTAGAACTGGACGAGTCGGATGCATCGACGTTCGACTGGTTCCTGCTAATCGTGCAGCTCCCTTTCGCGGCTGGCGATAAATAATATAAATTTGTTTTTTTAAACAGCGGTCAGACGAACGCAAAAAGAAATTAATTAGCCCCCTCTGTCGTCGAACGAGTGTTGAAAAACTGATTATTCGGCGACTCCGAGCAACGCGATTGTCCCCGGTCGTTCATCGTAGTTTTAACGGAAAACGACTGCGCGTCGAAAAATTGTTAAGGGTCGTGGAAACGAGCGGCAAAACTATGATTCTTCGATTTGAAAAGAAAAAAAAAACATACCCTCGGTTGTTTCGTACGATCACGAGTGCGTTCAACGATGCCATTTAGTACGAAAGCGACAGCTGCGATTAACTAATCTCTCCATTGTCAAATTCCATTGTTTTCTCCCAACAATATCGCGCTTGTATCGCTAAAATAGGTAGGTGTTCGCCGATCGATGATCGCTGTGCGATCTTCAAAAGAAAAGAAGAAAAAAAAAAAAAGAAAGAAGAAGTTCCGACGCGTAGCGCCTTCGATAGTTATGATCCGATGCATCTAGTAGTGGCTGTATTCTGGGAATCTTGCAAGTAGGTGAGCGAATGAGTCACGGGCGTGTGGGTGGAAAACAGTTTGCATCTAGGACAGAGAGAAAGAGGGTGAGAAAGTGGGGGAGAGAAAGAGACACAAGTACACACACAGGACTCGTTCGCCGCGTACGTTAAAATTCTAATTTCGCGCGGTCCCTTTCTCGACGGTGATAACGTCTAGTTGTATTTTCGGATCGAAAGTCTTTTTTTCGTCCGCCTTCCTCTTTTTTTTTCCCCCCGTCGAATCCGGTGCGTATCGGGCGCAGACGGGACGTTGGTTTTGTCCTTTTGATAAAGTCGAAAAAAAAAAAAGAAACAGTACCGATCCCGGGGCGATATTCAGTCTTCGCGATACTTTCAAACGGGTGCAATAAGCAAACGATGCGAATAGAAAGCCTCCGTAGCGGACCGTTACTTTTGTTATTAATTATTGTCGGACACCGCTCGGCGAAGGAGGGAGACACGGCGGCCGAAAAATCGGGACAAGGATCGAACGATTTTTTTTTCTTTTTTTTTTTTTTTTTAACCATGATCGATCCGACGACGCGCGCTCGTCTCGAAAGTTTTTCCACGCCGATGAAACTCGCGACGAGAGTTGGATCTCACGAGTCCCTCGCGGAAAGATGAGGGGGACGTAGAATTTCGGCCCGGTTTGTCTTTTAGTTTGTCCGTGAACGGTGCTCGCGAAGTAAACGTCGACGCGATTTTACAGGAAAAAGAGATAAGATTTTTCCCGCGAGGTCCACAGAGGCCTGACTACGCTTTTAAATGTATATAAACACTGTACATATTATATGTATATATACATACATGTAGGTTTATTTATATATATATATATATAAATATATATATATATATATATATATATTCACACACACACATGCATACGTAACATACTAGCATATATAAAAATTATATACACGAATGAGCGCGCACTCGCGCTCGTCTCTGTGTGTACGTGTGTGCGAGATAAGGAGAGAAAGAGAGCGCGTGAAAAAAAGTATAACACTACTAATTATTGACTTTAACATTAATATTATTATTATTAATATGTCTTATTATCACCATTATTATAACTACTATTATTGTTACGAGTTTTAGTTACGAGTTTTCGAGCATTTCATTGCTAACACACAATGATTCTTAATAATTTTATTACAACGAACCGCGATCGTTTGCACGTGAACGATCGTCGCGCGATTATTCGCTAAGATTTAAAAATCAATAAATGATGAGGATATATATATTAGGGATTATATTATTATATAAAAAAAATATATATATATATATATATATGTATACGTGTACGTATATGTATATGTATGTATATGTACTATTAACGAAACGTCGTCGCGGCCCCCGTAGAAATCTGTTTCTCGACGGGACAGGGAGTGCGAGTGCCGGTGCTCTCGCGTGGGGTGAGATAAAGAGGCAAAATAATGTGTTCATTACATTTGTAGGTAACAGTATTCGTTTATATACATACTTTTTACGGGCTATCGAGAAGATGAAAAAGAAAAAAAAAACATTGTTACAGGAAGGAAAGACCTTTCGGGTGACAGGCTTCTTTCACACGCAGTCACGCATACGCACGCGCGACACGAAAAAAAATACAAAAAATCACACACACACAGACACACACACAAAATGGACAGATTCACGCGCGCGTACACGTATGTTTACGAAGCACAATTCTTGCTTACCAAACGCATGAACACACCGAACGGTATAACGAGAAAGGGGGAGAGAGAAATAGGGGAGGGGGGCTAGCGGAGAATGTGTACGGTCGACAATGGTTCGCGCACGCGAGAATTAAAGAGGGATCGTAAAGTCGCATTGTAGCGGAGTGGGGGGGGAAAATAACAGATTGACCGACGACGGACGCGTACGAAATGCAAAGGCGCGACGAGATCGGGCTTGGGAATCGACGGCGGGATCGTAAGCGGCGTGCTGCACGTGCATCCGGAAATAATGTCTCATACGTATTCGTCATTCCTCGTCCGGGTGCGACATACACGCTCACACACACACTCGACGACCAACACGTACTTACACGTTTTACAGACGAAACGCACCGGCGTACGCGCGCTAACACGGGTACAGGTTAATTAAAGACTTAATCGACGACACGACGAAACCTGAATTGCAACTCAAGTGCTTCAAATTTATATAGGTACAATATAATCGCAGCGAGTAATAGTGCAGTTCGGAACACTGGTGAACACATTCGGTGATCGTTCGGAGGGAGCGAGGGGAGAGGGTGGATTCAATGCAGTCGCGTTTAAAAAAAAAAAGAAGTTTGTTCGAAAAGGGGTAGTTCACGAAGCCCCCTCGACGCACGGAATTTGTTCTTTCTCTCTGTTTCCGTTGGTCGAATCGTACCGAGGTTTTACTTTCTTTTTTTTTTTTTTTTTTAATTGTTACTGCATGGGACTTCCTTGTCGCGAAACGGCCGCGCGATAGTATCGAAAGCCGGATGCCGATTTTTACTCGAATCCGTAACGAGGACTCGGTACACCAGAATCCGTTCGAAAATTGCAGAAATTTAGGGGTAAATTAGTTGTACGCGTTTATAGAAAGAAAACACGAAGCCGTTGGTTCTCGAACGTTTTTTTTCTTTTCCGTTACAAATTGCGTTCTCGTTTTACGTGGAAACACGATTAGCGGTTCACCGGTTCTAAAAAAAAGAGATATCAAGTACTGAACGATGCACAAAGGCCTTACATAATTAACCACGGTAGAGTTTTCGACGTTCTCGCGTACGCGAATTCTAGGTGTGCGTAGCTTCCGTTATATTTTTGACATATTTTTTATACGTTAACCCTGCGATCGCTGAAGGATATTAAAAAAAAAAAAAAAAAACGCTTTACGCGATTCTAGGAATCACTACTCACGGAAGCAAAAGCGAGCGCCGCGTATGTTATTAAATGAAACACAGCAATGAAACGAAAAGACTAAATAAATGAAAAGAAAAAAAAATGAAGTTTTTATAGACGATCGAATCGGTTATCCGAGCGCGTCGGAATATTATACAGAACATTGTTCACATACTCAGGATAATAAAGAGACGCCTTAATTTTTAATCTTGAATTCGGTCTCTGTGAATTACGGATATATACCTTCGCGTACAATGTCTGTAACTATGTACATAAGAAAACACACACACGGTGTAGAAAAATAGGTATATATATTATATATATGTTTCTCTTTCTCTCCGCGTAAAAAATTCTGTCGGGGTCTCGCGTTTTTCGTTCCAACGCGCGGGCCTGTCGATCGAAATAGAAAAAGAAAGCTGTATCGGGCACGTTTCGAAGTTCTTCCGCGTTTGACGAACACAGAAATTCGTTAGTCGAAAGGAAACTCAACGATACATTATAATATAGTATTGTACGGGGTGTTCCGCACGAAACAAGCTGCCTGATTATCATGGAACCTCGATGATTGCGTTCGAGCCTCGTTCGTTGCGTCGCGTCGCTCAGCAACGAGCAAAGTTAGAGGTGGAGGGGATAGACAGTAGCGGGGCACCGTCTAATTAGATTGGTTACCTCGCTTATTGCACGAACGTCGATACTTTAACCTCGTTTGTCGTGCAATTATCAAGGTTCCGTCGTTTCTCTTTTAATTATAACGGCACGTGGAAATACTTCCTACGTAATTCGATTCGTTCTAAATTCCGAATACGTCCTAAGAAAAACGTTCTTTCCATTATAAATTGTTTTCGAAGCTTTTAAAGTCATCGACACATTGTTACGCGCGTACATATTATCATTTAACAAACGTTGCTCGAGCATCTGTTGTACTTAACGTTACTACGCATTCAACCATTATATTATAATCACAAACGACTTAGACTGGGACCGATATGTCCACCGACAGCGATATATCGTCAAAATAGAGATACAATAGAAAACAAATATGTATAGTAAACAAAAGTCGGTGACAAACTTTGACGAAAGAAAACAATGTCGAATCGAGCATTTTTCTTAGGAACGTGTCCTCGTATCCAACGGAAGCAAAGGCCTGTTTCGAGTGGGACGCCGTGTACATAATATACATACCTCGCAATAGACTTCGCCTTTTTAAGACGGTAGCCTTCTCTTCGCGCTGATAAAATAGTAATCCTCGTTTAGCCGCTTTTTATTTTTCACTTGCTCGTATATCCGACCTGTGAGTTCTCTGTATCGTGCCAAATCAATGAGGGAAGGAAAGGTGGACTGAGAGAGGCACCATAGTTGCGGATTTAGGCGAGCGTTATTTAGTCGAATTTAGAGAATCGATGATCATAGAATTGATTAATTGGAAAGATGCGATTTGCTTTACACAGCTGAAACTTACAGCTCATAGGGGACGCCTTTCTCCGAGGTCGTCGGTCCTCGTTGAACATGCATTTTTCTCCTCTTCCTTTTACCCCTGCTCTTTTAGTTTCTTTACCCTCGTATCTTTTTTTTTTTTTTTTTTTTTTTTTCTCCCACAAATCGACTGGAATTTCTAGGCCTTCTCTGGACAAAGACATTTCTTCGAAAATTGCTCAGAGAGTAACACTCGCTGATGGATCGCGGGAGCGTATCTTTTTTTTCTCGGACAATTTTGCCTTTTAATTTTTTTTTTATCCTCTGAAAATCTTGTTCGGAACGATAGCCGGTGGTGTACGCGTTATTCGACGCTTCGAACACAGAGAATTACTTTTCTTCGTTCCTTTTCTTACACGCAGGATGCGCGAACGCATCTTCTAATATTAAAAATGTCAATAAATATTATATGTAATTTTATGATTTTACGTAAAAGATACTTTCGCGTACATCTCGAACAGGTTGTATCATTCCGAAGGCCGGCGATGACTTTAACGGTCGATCAGGAACGGAATTTTCGTGAAGTTCTGCGCATTGAAATTCTACACATATCGTAAAATCGAACGGGGCCGCGAGAAAAACGATATGTCGAGGGAATAGGAGACCCGGGAATAAAACATAATAGAGACAGAAAAAGAATGACGCTCTCTTACGATCCGTCAGCGATTTTGAAGAGTGCAAACGTACCTGCTAGCCACATAGACATTAAAAATAATAATCGTAGTTACTGTAACGGTCAGAGAGAGACGATATAAGGAAGATATATCTCGTTTGTAAACGTCGTACGTCGTCGTAGCTTTAGCTTAGGAAAGGACAAGGCAATTATTCTAATATTGTTATCATTGTATAAACGACTCGAAGTGGCGCGAGATTCGTATCGGTGAGTTTAGACTTTATAGAAAATATCGTTGTTTACGTTTTGTTTCGTTTCTATTCGCAGCGTTGACGATCGAGTGTTATCCTTTTAGTTTTCTTCGCGAGACGAAGATCATGTTTGAATTCGACGTTCTTTTTGATTGTTGTAAATACGAGCGAATCTCGCGACCACGGCTTCCTTTATTTTTTTTTTTTTTTTGTAAATGTTATACGTACACGCGTACAGCGCAGCGTCCCCTCCCCCCGTGTTAATTGTGGACAAACGATTATTTTGCAAGTTCTGTTCTTCGTTAATTATATATGTATATATGCCATATATACGTACATAATTATTTTCCTTTTCTTTTTTTTCTTTGTTTGTTCGTTTCATTTTGTTTACAATTATTCGACGCGGCCAGCGACGTGATTCGATTCGTTCGCCGATTTGCAATGCACGCATAAACAATGCCACGGGGATGACTACTACTAGTATGCGAGTGTACGTACACCTATGTTAGATATACGAAAAAAATGTATGACATTGAGAGAACGAGTGAACGAAAGAAAGACACAGATGCGATTGAGACTGAAAGATTCAGAAATCGAAAGTTTTATATAATGTATATAAATAAATATAGTTTGGTATAAGAAACCGTGTACAGTTGTACCAAACCTTTTGGCGTTAAGATTAATAACGTAAGAAATTTATGGATGCGTAAACGAATCCATTCTTTTTCACGGGAGTAGGGGAACGATTGGGGGGGGGGGGAGAGGATTCTTGACAAGAATACTTAAGCGTAACATTAAGTTTTTTATTCAGAGCAAAACAATATTTTTTATTTATCCCTTTATTTTTATATGACGTTGCTACTGGAAACCGTTTGTACGATGGAGTTCGAAAGGTAGAGTGAAAAAGAAGAAAAAAAAAAATTGAGCGAATGGAAGATCGAGCGCAAGTGATCGAGCAAACGACGGAGAAAATGGCGGACAGGAAAGATTTAATCAAGTCGATGAGCGGGTTGGTAACCAGAGCTACACAACGAAATGACTCTCGAAATAGGAAGCAGCATGACGCGAGAGAGGATCGTGTACAATCGTAAACGGGAGGAGCGAAGGGAAAAAAAACGCAAGTGAAATAAAAATGGAAATTGGGAACCCCGATACACAGGTTTTTGAACTGCGATATTCATGTTATACTATATTATATATTATATGTATATTATATACAGATAGACCGATAGAATCTCTTATTTTTGCAAGAAAACCAGACTCCCGAAAAACGAGAAAAAAAAAACGAAAAAAAATGGAAAAACAAAAAAAAAAACATTGAACAACGTTCGTCGAGGCGCGACGACGAAGACGCAGGACGTGTTCTCGAAATGGTTTTTTTTTTCTTTCTTTTCTTTTCTCCCCCCGATTTTCCGTCTTCGCGCGACTCTTTCGACGTTGTTTCTCTCGTTTGTTCTTCTTCTGTTCTTTAACGATAAGTTCCAAATGTTATTCCTTGCTGCTGTTGGTCGACGAACATTTCGC